TTTTTTTTTCAACGTTTATTTATTTTTGAGACAGAGAGAGACAGAGCATGAACAGGGGAGGGTCAGAGAGAGAGGGAGACACAGAATCAGAAACAGGCTCCAGGCTCTGAGCCATCAGCCCAGAGCCTGACGCGGGGCTCGAACTCACAGACCATGAGATCATGACCTGGCTGAAGTCGGACGATTAACCGACTGCACCACCCAGGTGCCCCTACGGTATTGTTAACTGTAGTCACTGTGCTATACATGACATCCCCAAAACTTATTCATCTTCTGATTAAAAGTTTGTACCCTTTGACCTACATCTTCCCATTTATCCCAACCCCCAGTCCCTGATAACCACCATTCTACTCTCTTTCCTGGAGTTCTCCACTTTTATAGGTTTTGCATTTAATCATGATCATACAGGGCTTGTCTGTACAACTTCTATCACTGACTTATCTCACTCAGCATAATGCCCTGAGGAGCCATCCATGTTGCCACAAATTGCAGGATTTCTTTCTTTTTTATGGCCAAAGAATACTCCAATTGTGTATGTGTGTATGTATATGTATATGTGTGTGTGTGTGTGTGTGTAACATACATATATATTACATTTTATTTATCCCTTCATCCATTAATGGACCCTTAGGTTGTTGTTGTTGTTTTTTAAGATATATGTATTTTGAGAGAGTGAGAGAGAGAGCAAGCACAAGTGGGAGAGGGGCAGAGAACAAGGAAGAGAGAGAATCCCAAGCGGGCTCCGTGATGTCAGCACAGAGCCCAATGTGGGGCTCCATCCCACAAACAGTGAGAACATGACCTGAGCCAACATCAAGAGTTGGTCTCTTAACCGACTGAGCCACCCAGGATCAGTTTCTTCATCTTGGCTATTATGAACAATAATACTACAGTGAACATAGAGGTGCATATACCACTTCAAAATAGTAATTTTTTTATTTCCTTGAGATATATACCTAGAATGGGATTGCTAGATCATATGGTAGTTGTATTTTTTTTTATTTTTTTAGGAATCTCCATACTCTTTTCCATAATGGTTGTATGAATAGATTCCTTCTTAAAACTGTATGGGAGAATGCATTTCCTTGTCTTTTCCAGCTTCTAGAGGACACTCCTTGGTTCATGGTCCCTTTCTCCATCGTCAAAATCAAAAGCACAGAATCTTCCACTTTCTGATTCTGAAATTCCTATCTGCCTCTTTGACTTATAAGGACTCTAGTAATGACATCAGTTCTATCTGGATGTAACCCAGAGTAATCTCCCCATCTCAAGATCCTAAATCATCTATGTGAAGTCATTTTGCCATTGTAAGGTAACATATTCACAGGTCCCAGAGAATATCATGTGGACATTTCAGAAGAACCATAATTCTTCCTATCACAAAGTCTAAGTTAAAACACCAGAAGCAGTTTAAAATTGACTTTGACTTAATTCTTATGCATCAGTTTACCTTTGGGTTAAATAATGTGCAATTAATTCATTAACTGGAAAATGAAAATCACATTTCTAATGGAAAACTTCTACACTAGTCTATTATTTTCTGCTGAAAGGTCTTTAAGTTAAATGTTAAAATTCTTGTTATGAAATTCCATTTAATGATAGTTGGGTAGCAATAATAATAAGCTAATAGCTTTCTGCCAATAGCAGTATTTTTCTGAGCCCATTTTTTGTTGAAGCTATACTTTATTATGGAAATCACACTTGGCAGCATCTTTTTTTTAAAAATTTTTTTTTTCAACATTTATTTATTTTTGGGACAGAGAGAGACAGAGCATGAACGGGGGAGGGGCAGAGAGAGAGGGAGACAGAGAATCAGAAACAGGCTCCAGGCTCTGAGCCATCAGCCCAGAGCCTGACGCGGGGCTCGAACTCCCGGACCGCGAGATCGTGACCTGGCTGAAGTCGGACGCTTAACCGACTGCGCCACCCAGGCGCCCCATGGGTTTTTAAATTCTATCTCAAGGTGCTGGTAACTTCTGAGACAAATCCTGCTAATTTCATATATTCAATACAGAATATTCCAAGTTAAAATTAAGCTACTCAGAAGATCCAACCTAGAGTATGGTAGCACTTTAAGAAATAAAAGTCACAAAATAAGATTTTCTCAGTGGTTATAATTTACCTTCAGGTTGCAGTATGTAAGATTTCCTCCTATAATCCTATGTTCCTATTTCTTTAATTCCTTTTGATTAAATAATGTCCCCATGCTTTCACTGTCTATTTTCTTTTTGTGAAGTTGTCAAGTGATCTCTGTAATTTAAGAGACTTTTATGTAGCTCTCTGAGAGACTATCATACAAGTCCAACTAGAAGAATAATTTACGAGGCTCAAAATGAAGGGTCATTATTAATACTGTCTTGCCTGCAATGAATATGTAGACTCTTTTGTTCATGCATGGCAGGGTTTTAACCAAAAGAGGCAGAAGGTTTTAAATGAGGTGTTATGAATGATATCATTGGTGACATAAGTTTCATTTACATTTTTAAAAATATGATTGTTTAATGAGATTACAGAACATAAAACATGTCATTTGGTGTTGGCTTATATATTAACTTTCAAATATTTCTTTGGCTAAAAACACAATTTCAGAAGTTGTGCTTTTATATAGGCTAACATTTATCAGCCAATCGTAAGCTAGAATAATAATATGCATGGTAAGTATTCTATATTATAAAGCTAAACACAGGAGGACAGCTAAGAGTGGGTTTTCGCAGTTTTTTGATGAGGTTAATTTTTAAGTGCTTTTACTTTATCAAAGCATTCCTGACATGTATTCAGCAATCACTGATACTAATGATGTTTATGTAGGTGGAAGAAAATAGTACCTCTTCTTACCATTTCAATGCCCAGTGTCTTTTCTTAATTACAACAGGCAAATCTAATTATTTCTTCTGATCAATCTCAATAATTGAATAATTCCTTTCCAGGCAAAATGAAATCTTAAACATTTCCACAAGAGTTTGTTTTTTTTTTTTAATATAAGCACACAGTATACGATATGCCAAATAAGAAAATGGATTGACTTTTAGTAGATGGACAACTGTAATAGAAAAATGTTTATGTGTTGGGGTATATTTATTTATATATTCTTTATTATTTTAAAAAGAGCCTTTAAACCTGAAGCCTCTCTTCTTACCTAAAAATCACCTCTTCTTCCTCTCGATTCTCCCTGGTATAGCCACTGAACTCTACATTTTTCAATGTGTATTTATTAGTGTGTCCCCACATATACTCTGAGTGTTCTGTGTTACCCATAATATTTAGCCCCATGCCTTAAAAATAGCCAATGAGTTCCTGCTATATGCTGGATGCCACTCTAAATTTTTTAGTATATTAACTCCCTTAATTTTCAAAGGAGATGAAATGGGTACCACTGTTATCTTCACTTTATCGTGAAGGAAACTAACTTAGAACAGTTACGCCATCTAGCCAGAGTCACACTGCCTGAAAGTGGCCAAGCCCGAATCAGTGCCTGGTTTTAGAGCCGTTGAACACATACACTCTGCCCTGCCTCTGGAGACCTTGAACAGGCCAATGTCCTACTTTTAGAGTAGGTAACTTGCAGAGCACCAAGTACTTCTTCCTAACCTTTATTATCATTATGTTATTTATTTTCTCTGGTTATTTGATTGACGTCTGTCCCTCCCATTATGCCCAAAACGTATTCATAGAACCTCTAGTATGTAATAGATGAGTAACAGCAGCTAATATGTATTAAGCATTTACCATGTGCCATGAAATACATCTTATTTTAATCTTCAAAAAGTCTATGATACCTACCAATTTACCTCTACTTTAGAGGTGAGAAGACGGAGGGCAAAGGGAAGTTAGGTAACTTGCTCAAGGTCACACAGCTAATAAATGGTGGAGCCAGTATTTAAACTCAAAGGCCAAACTCCAGAGCTGTGCTCTGAATGAAGGAAGGAATGGATTCATGGAACTCTAACTTGGAGGAAAGAATATTGAACCTGTGGGGAAGGGTGAATTGGAAACAATAGAAACCATCATCCTGCCAGAGGAAACACGGGTAACATAGCACAGAACAGTGTGCCTGGAGCACTCAATAGATGCAAATTAATCAGTGAATATCTTTGTAGCCCATGAGTTAAAAGACTTTGCATATGTAATGTTTATTACTAATGCTCTCTGCCTATCTTCCTCTTTCAGTGCCACCGTGGGCCTTAATCGCCATAGCCATAGTCGCCGTCCTTTTAGTCCTGACCTGCTGCTTTTGTATCTGTAAGAAATGTTTGTTCAAAAAGAAAAACAAGAAGAAGGGAAAAGAAAAGGGAGGCAAGAATGCCATTAACATGAAAGATGTGAAAGACTTAGGGAAGACCATGAAAGATCAGGTAATGTATTCATTCCACATTACTTCTTAGATGACTTCATTGACAGTTAATAAATGCTTTATTGTTTTATGCCAGATAAGCATAGATATCAACAAATTCTGGACAGATGTCACTGCTGTAGAAATGCTTTGCAATCCTTTCAGTCACTACTGAACATCCCAAAGTGCAATGAAAACATTTGGTAGGGTGTTCCAGTCTCTTAAGCATATGAACCAGAAAAGGGCATCCATGACCATCAGGGACATCTTGACAGGTCCAGCATACTGGAATGATGCCTGAATATTTTGACTACATCTGTTCAGCCAGTCTTAACTGCATTTAGAGTTAGAGAAACAGAATAAAGGGTATCTGAATGTTCCCCCTCTTGGGCAAGGCGCCCTTCTAACATCACTGTTCATAATCTCTGTTAAGTAACTGAGACTTATGGCTACTGATCATACTTGATGAAAATTGCCATTTCTACATATCCACATATCTCAATAATTAATGCTCAGGAATAGTGAATTAACCAGGTAAAGGGAGAGAACTATTAGCTAGTCCTAAAGAACAAGGTATAATTTTAAGGCAAAATTCTTGTTTCATTAAGTTAGGGACAATTAAACCATAACACAGATTATAAAATCCATCCACCTGGGTTATCTTCCCAAGCCTTTGGATGTTCTTTACAGTGTTGTCTACGTTTACTAAATTAACTGGGTGATTTGGTTCAGAATAAAGTTTACTATTAATAATTAAAATTAAAGGCCTCTTCATTATTTTTTGGAATCATATTCATAGTGTTTATCTCTAAAACAAACACTTAATTCATATTAAAAATGTAAATGTAGAGCTTTTTCATAGAAATAACATTCTCAATTACCTTTGTTTCCCTTCAAATAATTGAAAAGTTCTATTTATTCCCAAATAGCAACAGATATTGACAGTTTTTAAAATTCTTTACATAGTATTAATTACTATTAATTGAACTCTTATATAGGTGAATCTCATTAAGAACAATTTAGTCAAGGAGGGCATTTCTAGTACATTTGCACAGTTTCCTACTTAAGCATACACTCAGGGCATCAACCCCACTCCCCACCTTGAGTTTTAAACACTTTTTCTCAAAGACTCTGTAATGTCTATTGACAATTTCGCAAAGGCTCTTTTGCACTCACTGAACTTGAGTTTGGTTTCAGAGCTATAGAATCGATGGAGCGCCTGTACTCCTGCTCAGAGAGCTTTGTCCTGAGCACAAAACAACAGATTTACATTTTTCTGAATGTTTCTAATCGCAGCCACAGAAGTCCATGCACCCACATTCAACCACAGAGGTCTAATAAAGATTTTTCTCTGTAGTTCATTTGCTACATAGAAACAAATTTGAAAACATGTCTTGCTTTATTTCAACATTTTCTATAACAAGCAGAACTTGATAGAGATTTCTTTAAACAATGTATTGTGAGATTAGCATAGAAACAGTGTGCTATACAGACATGGACTGAATAATGTGTAGGTGAATTTCAGCTGTATCTATGAAACAACACGAAAATACAGCCCTATCGTTTTCACAACTACAAGTCAAATGTCATTTTCCCAAATCCTAGAATTAACAAAAGCACCAAATAATGTTAAATTGTAACTGTAGCATTCTTTTCTCACATAAGAAATTTGTATTTTTCTTTGTGGAATTTGTTATGTATGATGTAAGATTGTAATTTATAGTATAGTAGTGGTGTTTATTACCCCTGTTATGACCTGGATAAATGACCAAGATCTCAAAATGCTAAATACAGAAAATTGATAGTGGTTCACTTTTCATGGGTCACCTATTCCTTTGGATGGGAGGGGAAGAGAAAAAAGTAAAAAAGGAATACTAGTAGGAAGTCAATGATAGTTTATAATAATCTACTATTACAACAAAGTAGTCAAGATTTCAACCACTCAAAAAGATCTCATCCTTTCAAGTGGATTACTTGTCCATACAGGATTTTGTAGCTCTTATTTTATGAATAACTAAGTGTACAGAATGAAATACAATTTGGACAGATAAAAAGAGGCCCAGTTGTGTAACAGTAGCTTAAGGTTCTTTTTAAGACAGGCAACAGTAGTTAATAATGCGTTCTATTTTTTAGGAGGAAGGATGATGAAGCAAAATAGAATGTACAGTTTTAGGATGTATGTCAAATGTCAATCATCCAAATTCAAAATAGTATAAACAGAAAACTTAAAGAAAAATTTAACAAAAAAAACTTAAGAAAATTATTCTTAAATAATTACATTTTCAGAATATTTTAAATGTATTATTTATGTGAAAATGGGAAAAACAAGTACAGTCTATGACTCTCATTTACAAACAGAACAGATGCAAGAGGCATTTTATATAGGATTTTTTAAGATACATGGGCTCCAGGGCCACCAGTAAGTTTTTTACCATTTCAATCTGTGTAGGAATGAACAGAAACTCAAATTTCCATGCTCATGGCTATCCGTCTCTATGTTAAAATTTCACAACCAACTAGGAATCTTTAAATCCCGCAATGACAACAAACTAACTGGTAATAATGTGTTTATACAGAGTGAGACTTATAATTAAAGGGGTTTATTTTTACTTTTATTTTTTTTAATTCCTTAAAGCTTGACAACACTGAAAATGCAGAGAGGCAATACCAACTTGCAAAGTCATAGGTCTGGAATGGTCATTTCTCCATGGTTTTCACTAATGTGTGTGGATATTTTAATTTTTATTTCTTCCTTCTATGTCCTCCTTATCTGTGTTATGTCTCATGACTGTTCTGGACTGTCCCTTGCGGTAGGTTTCCTCTGCTCTTTAGAAACCCCTAGTCAACGCTCGGATACATTTAGTGGCCTGGCCGCTGGGGCTCCACGGCTCAGGGTGTACCATTCTGACACACATCAAGAGGCTGAACTAAATTGATTTCTTTTTCTTAAGATAAAGGGTTCTCATTTTAACCATTCCTAACTGATTAAATACAACAGTATTAGAAAGCTCAAGTTTTTAACTGATGGGCATGGAAAGAAAATCCACTCCCTTGTGCTACTTTTTAAGTGTGCCTTATCAAAGCCAAATCTGAACAATTTAACTTAGAATAACTTCTCTTTCTAATGATTTGTAAATTAAGCACTTTTTGAATGTCAAAGCAAGCCAGAAGCATGTACACCAAATCTTTGAAATTTTAAATAAGATCTGATGTTCCTAAGATACCTTTCACTACTGCAATTTAGCAAACCATCAAAACTGCTGGGTTTACAAGCTTTTTCCTCTGCATTTTGTTGGGGGTAGGGGGTGGAGGGGTATTGCTCTTGAGATATTATAATAGCTACTGATTTAATAAATCTGAGTTTAATGTGATGGTACAGAAGATGTCCTGCTTGAGCTCAGCCCTCAGGACAAGAATAGACTTAATCATTTCGGTGATGAACAGTGACACGGAGAAATTATCAAAAATTTAGCCCTATTTCATGCAGAATAATCGCAGAGATGGTCCTGCACCTTTTATTAGGGCGAAAACCACTTAGGAAGAAGGAGATTTAATATCTCCGCTATCTCAAATTGCACTCGGATGAAACATGATATGTAAATTGTCAGTTCTGAAAGAGACTTTTGAGAAAGTATTTTAATCCATGAGTTTTTTGATAATCATAGAGTAACGTGTAGATTTTTCAGACAGAAATAT